TGAGTCGAAGTAAACTGAATTATTATTATTATTATTATTATTATTATTATTATTATTATGTCCTTTGTCTATATTCTTTTATATCTGTTGACATCTTTCTTTCCCCCTCGGTCAGCGCTTGTCTGTAATTGGCCTTTCAGCAGTTGCCAAGGGTTTGAATAAATGAAAAGAACTATTGTTACACACTACAGAAACGTTATGATATAGTCACTTTTGTCCCCAATACGTACATTTTGATGAAGTTGGCAACCATGGAGTAAGTAGTCTGTGCAAAGATGTGCTAAGCAAGAAAATGTACTGAAACTGTACGCGTTAGTTCGGAGCAGTTGTGGAAATGATATGATGGGTAACGGCTGTTTGATGTTCTTTACTCAATTTAAATTGTGGTCATCGAGGAAACACCAGTTCTTGTGTAGGCCTTCTTAAATTTTTCAAATACTGGTGCCTTCTTATATGTAACAAAACTATGCATTTTCTCGTTTTACAGTATATTTACCTTAAAGATTCGAAGGCAGTATAGCGCTGCTGCTTTTCTACACGATGTCTCATTCTAGAAGTCAGTAACTACGTACCATGTTCATAAAATTATTTCTGAAATTTTCTGATACTCTAATTTATCAATCTGCTGATAGATTTTGGATTTTCAAAGCTGCCTTCCTTATCTAAAATATATTCATTTCCATAATTATAGAAAGAAGAAAGGTTAAATGTCAGTTATTTCCTATTTCGGTCAATACTGTTGTGTTCAAATACTTCGTATGACTTACCAAGTGCAGATCCAGCACGCAGAAGAAGGGCAGGCTTGACATGGGAGAACGTGTTCTGGAACACAACGCTGCACTCTGTTGTTGAGCTGGAACAGACAAACCCAAGGGAAATTGCAGATGCAGATCGAGTTGTGCCCTTTATTCAGAAAGAAGAGACGGAACCATTCGTTGTCAATATGGACATTTCATAAGAAAGCCGTTTTTACAGGGGATAAAATAATTTTACCGACACGCCATTACTGGCGCTAAGAGTAAACAGCTTCATCAAGACATAAGTGCAAGCAGCTTCTAGCAATCGTGAATCTGACAACAGTGGATTTCGATGAACGCGATTCCAAATTTTGTTTAGTTGCCTAATGGCTGTATTCGGTTTCAGGAATACGCGGATTTTAAAACGCGTACATATGAGAAAAAAATCGGTCGGGGAGGTAACTGGTGAACACCTGTATTGTCATCATGATCAATGTAGTGATCATCATCACTGACTACCGAGCTGAATAATCTATTGTTTACAAAGTAAAAGGAACAAGAATTTCTAAGAAGAGCTAATCGCCTACGTCCCTTTGATACGACACGAACCATATAGCAAACAACGCCTACAGGAATTCTTCTTTGCCGCGGGAACGTCTTTACAAAGCTTTTACGCAGCAACGGTAGGAGATTATACAGACAGACCAGTAGACACACGCGTCCAACAGTTCTTCTATTTTTGCTTGCATTCTTTGCCACGAGAAAGTGGTTACCTAGCCGTTGACTATCAACGAAAGGAGGAATACACCACAGACACACAGACTGATCACAGGACACATCACAAGACAGAGTATACACGAAATATAGGAAGAACGACTCCCATAGCGGAGGACTGATATAATACGCGAGTTTGAAATGCGACGTGTAGGATGATAAATCTTAACAAGTTTTAATATATAAATTGTATTATAGTACATGACGAACGTACATTTTGAATTATTTTGTGAACGACACATGATGGCGAGCGGTGCAATGGTTTAACGTGAATAACACACCTGAGGATGGCACAGTGATGCCGAAACATGTGGTGGGGTGAGATTGTGTGCACTAGAGGACGGTCAATACATACACAAAACATATATGTATGAAGTAGTCTGGGAAGTGATTTGAAATATTGAGAAAACGTGGAAGATCGAAAAGAAATGTCTAAGAAAGCGAATATCCCCTCCAGTACTATTTTTTTTAAAGTTGTGTCCTGAAACGAGCAAACGTCATATGTTCCTGTTTTACATGCAATGATATGCGCTTTCTTAGAATCGTCGCTAATTCTCAAAGAAACAAATTAAACCTTACATGATCAGCGTTAAATTGTATTGAGCATGCATCAGTCAGAAAATAACAAAAAAAAAAAGTGCATATAGACTCGATTAAACAATATCGGGAAAGAAGTTATTTTTATTGCTTGTGCCATAACATTCTTGAAATGGCGGTAAGGCCATTTCTTCCGAAACAGGGGAGAACTTCATAACATTACTGTAATAGGATCCATGAAAATAAACTTCACAGATCGCTTTCCACACCATCGCCCTTCCGCCATTCCATTCTTCGAATAATCGAACGTATTCACGAAGAGGAGAGTATAGTGGGGGGTGGGGGGTGGAAACAGGCACTACTGCAGCGAGAGACATTGTCGAAAATTGTCCAGTTCTCTAATCGTGCTATATTGCCCTCGGCGGACGGGTGAGGCATACATGGCTGGCCGTCTTGGGCGTGTCTGATGATGCATACAGAAAGTATTCTGTATCCTTCCAGCTGAGACCTGCGCCCGGGCAGGCGTGTCTCAACAAAAGACTCTACAGGTGTCGTTTGTTTCATGTACTTTTCTACAATTACTTGCTTATTTTGTAGAATTAAAATCTATTGTTGTTCCTGGCCTTTTTTTTTCTTTGCTTCCTTGTCTTACTTTCGTTCTCTTTCTTCCATTTTCTTTCTTCAGTCTGTGTTTATTTTCTTCCTAATTCTTCCCTTCTTCCTTTTCATTCTCTCCTTTATCATTTCCTTTTTGTATTTTTCCTTATTCTTTTTTACTTCTTTATATGTATTCTTCTCCCCTTTTCTTCCTCTCTAGCTTCCTTTATGTCTGTTTATTTAATTTCCTGTTTTTCTTGATTATCTTCTACATTTCTTTCCTATTTTTAATGCGATTTTCTTATTTTCCCCTTTCATTTATTATAACTCTGGTTTAGAGAGTGCCATGCTTCACAGGAACGCAGAATTCGTGCTTTGTCACGAATTCTCCACGCTGAGTGAACAGTTAAACTGACCCGCAGCTTGGCTCCCAAACAGCATCGTCATCACTCAACAGTTACACAACTGTTACAGAAAAACTCTGCATTACGGAAGCTGAATGTTCATCACCGTCACCACAAGAGTTCTTTATCCGGTCCACTGGGTACTGCCACTGAACACGGCTAAGTGTAACTCTTACAAATAAATACACGGACAGAGACAAAATAAATGTGTTATGCAGAACGGTGTTGAGGTCTCATGAAATGACACTAGTGACATTCCTCATGAGGAATGTCAGTTATTTGTACACTCTGTTTCAGATAAACAGAAGTAAAGGAGAGAGATCACGGCAACCTTAATTACCTATTAGTTCAGCATGTTTATATCAGTTACAATTAGCAAGATGAAAACGCATACAATTTCAAGCACAATTGACTTTTTCACGGTAAAATAATTCAAGAAGTGAAATATGTTTATATTCTTTAAGCTCTGCTTGTTCAGAACATCTTTCTCTTCAAGTGGAATATCCGCCAGCTTTCCGAGTTTCCATGCTGTGCATACTCAAGTTAGTCTTGCCCGACGGAACGTTCCAGCCGTGATCATGTCCTGGTTTATTGAGTTGGATGCGTCGCGTGAAAACTTCTGCTGCTTTCACTCCGACCTCAGCGTCGAACTGTTCATCTCGTAACCATAAGCGCTGCTTTGAACACAGAGACATAGGGGTATAACAACTGGTTGCACCTGATGTGAAAGAATTTTTGTTATTATGGCTCTACAGCCCTTTGTTGGACCTTGGCCACTTCTTCAGTTTCTTGAGCCTATACATAGTCGGTAGGACTCCTTGGATGGGGGATCAGTCCGGCATAAGACCTATACCTACACACAGAACAACACAAACACAGAATAAAAACAAATAAACAACCTTGCTTTGAATGAGAATCGAACCCGCAATGAGAGCCTTTGAGTCAGTGAAGAAAGTTCCTGCCTTAAGACCGGGCGACCACTGCGTTCGGCGCGTGAAAGAAATGCCGCTGTGTAAACCAGATAATGACACAATTTCATTAGATTTGTTGTTCCTATATTTAAAATTTTTTTATGTCAGCCGTTACAGATGAGTGGGCTGTGAACACACGCGTCCATTATCGAATTTACAACAATTGTAAAGAAGTGAAATGTTCATAGTCATATTATTTTTCATATTTGGGGTTTCGTAGAGTAAAGTCGTTGAAAATGACGTCAATTGCTCCTTTAACTCGCCATAGTAGAGACTCGTTTAGAATAACACAATCTTACATTCCATTAAGTTTGTTTGGGAATTTAGTTTATATTTGTAGGCATAGGAATATGAGAATGTAAAAATATTTATAAGTTCTGCTCTCCATTTAATAATTATTAAAATCAAATCAGTCTTAGCAACTGTGTTTGAATTATTACTCAGCAAACGAAATGCGAACCCTTCTTCTAAAGGCGCGTCCACATTACTCGTGTTCGTGCGTCAGAAGCTTACTGCTGCCGGAAAATCAGGATCTGGGGCTGATATCTGTTGTGAAGAAATGCGAAGGCTTTGTATGCAAACCAGTTTGGGCGTCCACTTCGTCAGCTCCAGATCCTGATTTTCCGGCAGCAGTAAGCTTCTGACGCACGTGCACGAGTAATGTGGACGCGCCTTAAGGATATCAGAAAGAAGTATATGACGTGCGAAAATAAAGATCAGTATATTCTCCACATTATCACCAAAGAGAACTAGGCAGTCAGCCTCACATAAATTTACGCTCCCGCACATGGAACTTAAAAAAGATTCAGAGTGAATTCTTGAAAATTTTTCCATCTGGCGGTAAAGGGAAATCTGAAGCCCCAGCTGGGACTTCAGTCCATTACTTTCCAGACCTTAGACAGTCACCGTGTTAACCGGTTTTCATGGTTTAGTTTTTTTTTTTTTTTTTTGCTTCTAAGGAGCAATAAATACATATTAGAAAACCTATTACAGAATTGCTTATGTCTTCAAGTAAAGGTAATGTGGTCCCTGTGCTTAACTAATTAAGCATTACGCCATGAAGTCATATGGAGGAGTGGATGTGTAGATGCACATTATCTTGACCTCGGCGCTAGTTGCAAGTGACTGAACAGCTTCACCCCCAGGCCGCTTTACCACCCGGGGAAAGAGCCCTCGGTAACCATTTTATAGGAGGCTTGGTGGGCCCTACCGGGACTAAACTCCAACCCCTCGAACGTCCAGCCCGTAGGCATTCGGTGTACCTACTGCACTTCCCGGCTCTTACCCTGTCGGTCCGTAAATTCCTTAAATAAATCAAGAACACAAATACGCATTAATTGGCCTGTAGGTGCATTATGCAATCTGCAGCCACTCCACTTTCGTAATTAACTGCCTGACTTCCGCAGTACCGTCATGGTGTCAGTCCGAAATCGTGTGATTTGGAACGTCACGATCCACATTCAATGTAGGACCTTGAGCTACTTCACTACGGTGATAGGAATACTGGGAAAATATGTATATTTCCTTGATGTTAACTTTTATTAAGAAAACATTTTGATATGATGATAATAACCGTTTAATCAGTGTAATATGACTTTGATATTTATGTGCGGGCAAGTTACACATGCTTTTATTAGGAGAAATTTCATCTCTTGGAGCTCTGAATAAATGATGCAAAGGACTAATATTCTTGATACTTCTTGCTAAAAAGTATCAATCCAAGAAACACATTCAACATCAGCTCAATATAATAATCTGCACGACTCCTAATAAAATAAAATCCTAATGATATCCAATATCTTAAAACTTTACGTATGTAAAATTATTATAATC